CTGTGAATGAAAGTGTTACTATTTGAAGAAGACCACTTCAGAAAGAGAGCGAAGTGTTAATATAAGTGTTGTTGTTGTTATGTGCCATCGAGTCGGACCCGACTCATAGCGACCCCTCCTTGGGTTTCCGAGGCAGTATCACTAAGGAAGTAGATTGCCCCATCTTCCTTCCCAGGAGTGGCTGGTGGGTTTGAACCACCAGCCTTCTGGTTAGCCGTCAAGTGCCTTAGGCACTACGCTACCAGAGCTCCCGTTAATATAAGTAGCATTTAAAAATGTTAAAGAATTTGGTAAAGATTTTTTTCTTTCCAAACTCTGCTTTTGATAGCTGCTATTTGTTTTTAAAAAACTAAGTTTTATATTTTTATATTCTAGAAACAAAAATGTGGATAAGTTAAACTTTTCACTCGATTACAGCCAATTTCAAAGGCAGAAATAACTCACATATATGTCGCATTATTGAAGGTCTACAAAGATCTCAAGAAACTACTCATTTCCTAATCCCTATCCACCAAAGAGTCTTACCGAGTTTCTCCCTTCTCTGATACTATTGGATCTTGACCGTTCATCAGTTAAGGGTTTTTCTCTTTTATAATCACCTTTCTTTTAACGGAATTAATACGCTGTCCATTAAAATGTCTCATTTCCGTTCCCAAGACTGTATACTACGTAAGTACTTTCTAACCGGCTAAGGGGTAGCCGGGCACTTACCTTCAAAATAGATGCCTGACTGGATTTCAAGGACCCTGGGGAGGGTCCTGAGGTCAAGCGAGTGGACAAATTCTTCCAGCGTTAACGCCATTGCTTTGGCTTGGGTCCTGCACAGATCTGGTACTTACAGACGCATATGTCTTCTGGGTGTCTCTCGTCTGCAATTGCTGTTCCTGCACATCATTCCTCTCTCAGGCAGGCAGGGATGTCACACTACCGACGGCCTGAGGTGGAGTAGCTTTGTGTGGGGAGCATGGTGAGAAGGGAGGTGAAGGTAGAAGACAAAAGTGTTACAGTTCTTGCTGTTCTCATTGTGGCTTCATTTCCTTCTGACACTGAAGTAAAACATGATGGGGGTGGAGTGAGCATGTCTCAACACACTTTGTCAGAAAAAAATCTTAGAATTAATGTATCTTGCTCTGTCTGTTGCTTGTCCAGGTGTGCATTGACAGCAGGGGCAAGAGTGTCTGCAGTCAAAGGTACTTGTGCCTAGTCCATCAGAAAAGAACCGAATACAGGACTAAGTCTAATTTCTAAAATACTACCAAGTTAAATTATGATCTCAGTAGTTCATTTCTGAAGTTTGCTTTGACATCTAGTTTGCATACTCTCACAGCTTTTATATTAAATTTGGTTGCAAAAGTGCTTCATGTCAGCTCTTTCAGAGAAAGCTAATACTCTGGAGACAGAGGGTTGAAATCACTTTTCATCCTTCCACATTAAAAAATTTGCTGAATCTTGAAAGTAGGATGGAGCAGTGGTGAGAAATGCTAAGTGATAGAGTAAACTAGTATGAATTTTCTAATGTCTGTGGTATGGTGAGAACTATCAGGATACTTGAGTTTTCTGGGTCGGGCTCTGTTTTTGATTTATAGGGTGACTTTAGTCTTGTCTTCTCTATACCTCAGTTGTTCATTTATGAAATTGAGAAAAAAAGAAGGAGCAGAATGAATTGTCTGCACAATTTCTTCCAAGGCCAAAATTCTACAATTCTTATTTGGCACAAATTTAGGTGAAAAAAAAAATATACTAATTCAAAGGAAGCAAAAGAAGCTTCATAAAATTTAATCTCATCAGAATCTTCCCCTTCTCTATTATGTGTATTTAACTGAAACAAGCTTTAGAGCTAATGTATATATTTCAAGGTAATATTTACTGAGTCTCTTTAAGAATGAGTAATAGAAGCCAGGTTGGTATAGATACAGGTGAAAGAGGCTAAGGAGCTGCACATTCTCCTTATAAATTAGGCTCCAGACTCCTGCCTGGGAACTGTTTTGGCCTTAGGCAGGAGTACGCATAGCCAGATAGAGAAGGTCAGAGGTCTTCTCAGCTCTACCATATTTTCCATCTAAGTGACCTAGGTATAAAATACTGCCTTATTTTGATATAGAGCTTTACAACAATCTTTCAGTTGTTTATAACCAAACTTGACACATTTACTAATCTGTCTAGCTTCATTCTTTCACCACCAAACTAGAATTCATCATGGTTGATTACATCAACAGTCTTTTTTCTGTTTCCTCACTTGCAACTCTTTTGCCCCAAATCTCCCAAACTTGATCAGTCTGCCTATTGCAACCCACCCCCAAAGCTTAGGCTCCTCGCTCTACTGCAAACGTTACTTACAGCCTAAAACATCATTTCTCCCATTGTTGAATATATGAAAAAGATGGCTGTCAACTGTTCCTTGAATACCATAATCTGTCAGAATTGATACCACAACAAATTTCATTTGGCACTTAATCTAAGCTGGGTTTTACTTGATTTTTATTTTATTTATTTTTTTTAGTGTCCCAAGTCAAATTTTATTAGCCAAAGAGCTCTTATGGTGCAACAGTTATGTGCTCAGCTGTTAACTGAAAGGCTGGCAGTTCGAACCAACCCAGCAACTCCATGGTAAAATGACCAGGCAATCTGCTCCCACAAAGATTACAGCCTAGAAAACCCTATGGGGCAGTTTTACTCTGCCACATGGGGTCACTACGAATCAAAATTGACTCAATGACACCTAACAACAATAACAGCCAAAGCTAATTTAAAAAAAAAAAAGGCAAAATAGGACATTTTCAGAAAAACAAAAATTTTGTCACTAATACTCCAGCTCTAAAAGAAATACTGAAGTGTTTTCTTTAGGAAAAGGAAAATGACTCCAGACAGACCTCGAATATGCAATAATGAATAACTATAGAATAGGTAAATATGTGTGTAAATTAAATATTAACTGTATAAAACAGTAATTATAATGACTTGCAAGGTTTAAAAAATATGTGTATTAATGCATTGTAATAGTAATTGAAGAAGGACTGATAAATGAAGTTAAATGATTTAAGTTCCTGGCCTTTTAGAAAGGTTGTGAAATAATCATTAGTATTAGACTGAAATAGGAGCTCTGGCAGAATAGTGCCTAAGGCACCTGACTGCTAACCAGAAGGCTGGAGGTTCAAACCCACCAGCCACTCCTTGGAAGGAAGATGGGGCGATCTACTTCTGTAGTGATACTGCCTCAGAAACCCAAGGAGGGGTCGCTACAAGTCAGGTCCGACTTGACAGCACAGAACAACAACAACATTAGACTAAAATAAATAAAGGTGTAAATTATAATCTCTGGGAAAGCCATTAAAATATAGTAAATGGAATAATAAAAATAAATTTTGACTAATCAAAAAAAGGAAAAATCAAGTCAAGGAAGGAACGAAAAAGGGCCAAAAATAGTCAACAAATAGTAACATGAGAAAGATAAATGCAAATATATTCTTAGTTGTATCCATTTAAATTTTGATTCATTATAAAAAAAAATTAAATAAATTAATAGCCCAAGTAATAAACTAGAATTGGCAGATTGCATTAAAAAATATATATTGCTTACCAAAAATGCACCTTAAATGTAAATACGCAGAAAATCTAAAAATAAAAGGATGGAAAAATATACACCATGAAAATATTAAACAGAAGAAAGCTCATAAAACTGCATTAGTATGAGACAATGTAGTTAAATGGCAAGAAACATTTCTAGAAATAAAAGGTACTTTCAAAATTGAAATAGGATCAATTCACAAGGAAGATCTAATAGCCCCAAAACTGCATACACCCAATATCATAGTACCAAAATAGCTAAAAAAATTAACCAAATGAAAGGAGGATTCATTATTAAAGTAAAAAAGATTTATACACTCATTCAACAGTTAACAGAACAAGCAAATATTTAACTGATCAAATTCAGTACTGCTGAAGATATTGTATATTAAATAGTTATTCATATATAGTACAAACTTATGCAATTTATCTTGAAATCACTTTCATCTGGTAATTTTACATCTAGCTATAATCAGATACATTGTTGTTGTTGTTATGTGCCGTCCAGTCGGACCCAACTCATAGCAACCCCTCCTTGGGTTTCCAAGGCAGTATCACTAAGGAAGTAGATTACCCAACTTTCCTGCCGAGGAGTGGCTGGTGGGTTTGAACCACCAGCCTTCTGGTTAGCAGTCAAGTGCCTTAGGCACTATGCTACCAGAGCTCCCAATCAGATACACAGAACAATTTAATACCATTAATGAAAGAATATATTTTTTTAACGGTAAAAGACTTGAATACACACTTCCAAGAAATTCAATGGATTCCAAGCAGAATAAACTCAGAGATTCATAGCAACTCAGAGACAAAGAGAATATTAAAAGCACTAAGAGAGAAGGGGCTCATTCAAAATCTCCTTAATAAGATTAATACCTGGTTTCTCATCAGAAACTATGGAGGTCAGAGGCTAGGAAGTGACATATTTCAAGTCTTAAAAGAAAAATATTGTCAATTAACTAAAGCATTTCCAGACAGAAATAGGTATTAGGTAAAGGAATTTATTACCAGTAAACATACCCTACAAGAAATGCAAAAGAGAAAACTTCAAGCTAAAATGAAGGACTGGAGAGAGTTACTCCAAGTCACAAGTAAAATAAAGAATACTGGTATAAATAACTACATAAGTATAAAAGTCAGTATTATTGTAATTCCATTCTATAATTCCTTTTATTCTTAAGTGGTTTAAAACTAAGTAACTCACTCACTGCCAGAGAAGCTCTGGTGGCATAGTACATAAGGCAGTTGACCGCTAACCAGAAGGTTGGTGGTTCAAATCCACCAGCCATTCCTCAGAGAGAAGACTGGGCAATCTACTTCTGTAAAGATTTACCACCTCAGAAACCCAAAGATGGTCACTATGCCGAGTCGGATGGGACTCAGCGACCCCTCCTTGGGTTTCCGAGGCGGTATCTCTACGGATGTAGATTGCCCAATCTTCCTTCCGAGGAGTGGCTGGTGGGTTTGAACCACCAGCCTGCTGGTTAGCAGTCAAATGCCTTAGGCACTATACCACCAGAGCTCCTAACTGATTTAAAAGGCAAATATATAAAGCAATAATTATATATGTTAATAGGAGCATAATCTATAAAGATGTAACCTGTGACGATAACAATAGGAACAGACTGTATATGATTGAAAGAACAGATTGTATATGACTGAAATTAGATTGGTATTATTCAAACTATGTTGTTATAAGTTTAAGATGTTAATTATAATCCTCAAGGTAACCACTAAGGAAATAACCAAAAAATATACAGAAAAGGAGTAGAATGAATCAAAATTATATACTACAAAAAAAAAAAAAAATCAACTAAATAACAAAGGGCAGTAATGGAGGAATTGATCAACAACAACAACAACAACAACAAAACATATATAATATGCAGAACAGAATAGTTGGATGGCAGAAGAAAATTCTTCCTCACTAATAATTACTTTAAATGTTAATAGATTAAACACTCCATTTAAAAGGTGGAGATTGGCAGAGAGGATGAAAAAAAAAAAAATACAAAAACAAATGCATCCACAGCAAAATCTGCAAGAGCTAAAACTTGTGTAAGGGAGAAGCCTCTCAGAGAAGGCAAACTCTCATTTCTCCACTAAAACAAATGTTAGAAAAGTGGTAAAGGATGTGTCAACTAGGCTAGCTGAGGATTCTCAGTGTTTTGGCAAATATTATGTAATTGCCCCCAACCATGTGAGTCAGGAGAAACTTCCAGCCTGACACTTGACCCATGG